TTCTAGAAGGATGGCAAGGATCATCCTCACTACCTGAGCTGGTGGTGCATGGTGCAAGTGGTAAGAGAGAGGCCATATAGCAAGGGCTCTGAAGCCCCAGGCCCTACTTCAACAGAACAACTCCATTTGTATATCTTAAACTGTATTTTTAAAGATGTTCAGATATTCTGGTCTTGTACTCACTGACATTAAGGTAATATGTACTCAGACAAGTTTTGTAGAGCATAGATAGCAGCAGAAAAGCTGTGGGATGTTGTCACGTGAGGCCTGACATACTGATCTCAGGCTGGATTTGTATAATTTCATGAAAACACAAAGTGTTATGGGTTCTCATCCCCATATCATCGATGTTTTCCCTCTGGTTGCCCAAAGCCCTGCTCTCTGTTAGGAAGGTCTTATAATTAAACCAAGCTCTTAATGCAACAGTTGTCCACATGGATGGGTCCAAACTAAAATTCTTGTGATACAGGCATTATGTCATTCTTACTAGGCTGTCAATTGATGATGGACAGGCTGCTATTAATGGGAGACCCTTGCTGCTTGGTGACAAGCTGGATAATTGTAGCTCCTTTGTTCAGGAGTGAAGTGAGGGATTTCCCTGTGCTTTGTTAGATTGTTTTGGGGCCAGCTGAGCTTCCTTATAGCTCCCTCGTTCTGGCAATATTCTGACTTGAGCAGAGGCCATGATATTCCTGGCTCAGCACCTTCCTTTGTGGTACCTGAAGCCTAGTCCCCTCTTCTCTTCCAACCAACCTTATTCCTGGGCAATGTCCTTCTCTTGCTCTCTCTCCTTTGCCTGGGAAGCCCTTGTCTTGCCATTGGAATGAATAGTCTTGCCTTTCTTCCATTCTCTTACGATTAAGACATAAACTTTATATCTTGGTTCTTCAACATTGGTCTATTGATTTCCAAAATTCCTAGCTCTTGCTTATCATACACTTTGGATTTCAAGACAATGTCTCTGTCATGCATTTCAAAACCAAAAATCTGACTGTGTTGTGTGCCTTTGGCTGTGTCACATCTCCCCAAAGCCTCAGTGTCCATGGTACGTTTTTACTGGATGTGGGTGGGGAGTGATAATTAGGTAACAAAAATTCTTAGGATGAACAACATAGTGGTTTATTCATCAAAATAATATCCTATTGTTGTGATAGAGATGCAAGATTGAAGATGAAATGTTTGGAGAATGGTAGTAAATATCAGTTTTAATAGCCGGTACTACTACTACTACTACTACTACTAAAATTAGAAATAATGAGAGTACTCTCATGTGGAGGACTTAGAAATGAAGGGACCTTTTATGAAAAAAGCCCTGGATGGTTTGAAGGGTTAGGTCAGAGTCATTACACCAGGTTTTGGTGTCAAAATAATGAAGAAACCCATGCATGAAAAAAAAAAAAAGGTTGTAGGTTTACCCAGGAATTGGAATGAACTATTATTATTCATGTATCAACCACATGTACATATGGAATTATCTATGCAATATGTATATATTATGGACAGACAACATGATGGCTATTCTTAGCTATTGAGTTGTGGCTAGAGTAGGAGGAAAGATAAATCTTAATTTTGTTTTGTTTTTATTGTCTTATTTTCTTTACAGATAAATTGCCTTCCATAGGAAATCTGTTATTTAAGTTAAGCCTCATGCCATGGTCAGGGTTAATAGCCTAAAAAGTGTTTTGAGTGCTTGCCATGGAGTATAATTTTTTAACTTTTTTTTTAAAGTAGGTTCCACACGCAACGTGGGGCTTGAACTTATGACCCTGAGGTGAAGAGTTGCATGCTCTACTGAATGAGCCAGCCGGGCGTCCCACATTTTAAGTTCATTGCCATGTGATACCTTTTAATAGCTTGTCTGAGAGAAATGAAATCAGTAGAAGGATTATTTGAAAGATATACAATCCATTCATTTCTCTCAGTAATTCCCAATGAGGCTGCAATTGTCATTTGGTACATTAGGATTCTTTATATTTTCCTATGCATCATAGTATGCTAAAATCCCAGACCTTGCTCACTAAATGCCAGCAGTGCCCACCTCCCATCATTATAACAGCTAACAATTGCCCTCCCATAGTTTTTAACAAAATTTTTTTTATTTAAATATTTATAAAAATATTTATTTTTGAGAGAGACAGACAGACAAACAGAATGTGAGTGGGGCAGGGGCAGAAAGAGAGGGAGACACAGGCTCCAGGCTCTGAGCTGTCTGCACAGAGCCCGATGTGGGGCTCGAACTCACGAGATGTGAGATCATGACCTGAGCTGACATCAGTCATCAGTCCGTTAACCGACTGAGCCACCCAGGCCCCCCACCCTCCCATAATTTTAAAGACATACCACCCTTGGTCAGATACCATTGCTAGAGAATCTAAAATGTATCAGTTGATAATTCAGAGAACTGAGTACCCAAATTGATTAATATAGGCAACCTAATAGAATCCTAGCATGTAGTATAATTTAAAAAAAAATCTTATCCCTGGGAAATTTTGCACTTTTGCACTCATAAAAATGTTTTTATCACCACAATTAAACAATTAAACTGTGACCTTTCTGAGACAGAATTGGGAGATACTTTGTTCTCTGGTCTCAGCAGTAGTGCTTTCCTTAAGCAACTGGCTTATTTTATCCTTGTATTTTCTGTGAAACTTGAAATTGCATCCATTAGGAGAGGAGGGAAGATGGCGGCGTAGGAGGACGCTGGGCTCACCGCGCGTCCTGCTGATCACTTAGATTCCACCTACACCTGCCTAAATAACCCAGAAAACCGCCAGAGGGTTAGCAGAACGGAGTCGCCGGAGCCAAGCGCAGACAAGAGGCCCACGGAAGAGGGTAGGAAGGGCGGCGAGGCGGTGCGCGCTCCACAGACTGGCGGGAGGGAGCCGGGGCAGAGGGGCGGCTCGCCGGCCAAACAGAGCCCCCGAGTCTGGCTTGCAAAAAGCGGAGGGGCCTGACGGACTGTGTTCCGACAGCAAGCGCGACTTAGCGTCTGGGAGGTCAGAAGTTAACAGCTCTGCTCAGAAAGCGGGAAGGCTGGAGGACAAAGGGAAGGAGAGCTGCTGAGCCCCCTGACGACAGAGCTCAGTTTGGTGGGGAACAAAGGCGCTCGCCAGCGCCATCTCCCCCGCCCATCCCCCAGCCAAAATCCCAAAGAGAACCCGTTCCTGCCAGGGAACTTGCTCGCTCCGCGCAAACACCCAACTCTGCGTTTCTGCGGAGCCAAACCTCCGGCAGCGGATCTGACTCCCTGCTGCTGCCACAGGGCCCCTCCTGAAGTGGATCACCTAAGGAGAAGCAAGCTAAGCCTGCCCCTCCTGCCCCCGTGCACCTTGCCTACCCACCCCAGCTAAGATGCCAGATCCCCAGCATCACAAGCCTGGCAGTGTGCAAGTAGCCCAGACAGGCCACCCCACCCCACAGTGAATCCCGCCCCTAGGAGAGGGGAAGAGAAGGCACACACCAGTCTGACTGTGGCCCCAGCGGTGGGCTGGGGGCAGACATCAGGTCTGACTGCGGCTCCGCCCACCAACTCCAGTTATACACCACAGCACAGGGGAAGTGCCCTGCAGGTCCTCACCACGCCAGGGACTATCCAAAATGACCAAGCGGAAGAATTCCCCTCAGAAGAATCTCCAGGAAATAACAACAGCTAATGAGCTGATCAAAAAGGATTTAAATAATACAACAGAAAGTGAATTTAGAATAATAATCATAAAATTAATCGCTGGGCTTGAAAACAGTATAGCTGACAGCAGAGAATCTCTTGCTACAGAGATCAAGGGACTAAGGAACAGTCACGAGGAGCTGAAAAACGCTTTAAACGAAATGCATAACAAAATGGAAACCACCACGGCTCGGATTGAAGAGGCAGAGGAGAGAATAGGTGAACTAGAAGATAACGTTATGGAAAAAGAGGAAGCGGAGAAAAAGAGAGATAAAAAAATCCAGGAGTATGAGGGGAAAATTAGAGAACTAAGTGATACACTAAAAAGAAATAATATACGCATAATTGGTATCCCAGAGGAGGAAGAGAGAGGGAAAGGTGCTGAAGGGGTACTTGAAGAAATAATAGCTGAGAACTTCCCTGAACTGGGGAAGGAAAAAGGCATTGAAATCCAAGAGGCACAGAGAACTCCCTTCAGACGTAACTTGAATCGATCTTCTGCACGACATATCATAGTGAAACTGGCAAAATACAAGGATAAAGAGAAAATTCTGAAAGCAGCAAGGGGTAAACGTGCCCTCACATATAAAGGGAGACCTGTAAGACTCATGACTGATCTCTCTTTTGAAACTTGGCAGGCCAGAAAGAATTGGCACGAGATTTTCAGTGTGATAGACAGAAAAAATATGCAGCCGAGAATCCTTTATCCAGCAAGTCTGTCATTTAGAACAGAAGGAGAGATAAATGTCTTCCCAAACAAACAAAAACTGAAGGAATTTGTCACCACTAAACCAGCCCTACGAGAGATCCTAAGGGGGACCCTGTGAGACAAAGTACCAGAGACATCACTACAAGCATAAAACATACAGACATCACAATGACTCTAAACCCATATCTTTCTATACTAACACTGAATGTAAATGGATTAAATGCGCCAACCAAAAGACATAGGATATCAGAATGGATAAAAAAACAAGACCCATCTATTTGCTGTCTACAAGAGACTCATTTTAGACCTGAGGACACCTTTAGATTGAGAGTGAGGGGATGGAGAACTATTTATCATGCTACTGGAAGCCAAAAGAAAGCTGGAGTAGCCATACTTAGACAAACTAGACTTTAAATTAAAGGCTGTAACAAGAGATGAAGAAGGACATTATATAATAGTGACAGGGTCTATCCATCAGGAAGAGCTAACAATTATAAATGTCTATGCGCCGAATACCGTGTCCCAACCTTATTTGTGGCTTCCTAGTAGTGACTATTAGTGATGATGTGTGTCCTTTGGCTCATATTTTTCTTGTCTTTGATGGGTTCTTATTTTGCTACATTACAGGAATTCTTGTAAATGGCTCGAAGTCTTCTTTGGATCAAGGTAAGATAAAAATATGTACATATATTCAGGTGTATACGGAAACTGTATGGTGTGTGAAACTTGAGGGGTATAAATTGAAGTGTATTGGTGACAGTTGAATAGTTTTGCATTCTAATCATTAACACCCATTGAAAATCAAGGTAAAACTTGATAGTAGAACAGCTAACATAAGGGGTGTGTAGGCGGCGCAGTTGGTTAAACATCTGACTCTTGATTTCAGCTCAGGTCAGAATCTCACTTCATGAGTTCAAGCCCCACATCTGGCTCTCTGTTGACATTGTGTAGCCTTTTTGGGATTCTCTCTCTCCCCCTTTCTCTGCCCCTCCCCCACTCAATCTCTCTCTCTCTCTCTCTCTCTCTCTCTCTCAAAATAAATAAACTTAAAAGAACAGCTAATTTAAGGAGTTTAATTACTATAATGGCACAGTTGTTTACTTTGCTAATTGCCATGTGTTGGCACATAATACTCATACATTAAAAAGAGTATAAGTTCATGCTTAGTAGGAATCTTGTCAACTCTTTTGCCTCCTGTATCTAATTTTTTTAGCAGAGGCACAAACCTAAAATGTAAGATACTTTATACTATAGCATGTATTTGGTAATAAGGCTACTATAGTGTTCTTACAAATTACAGATTATGTTCATATAAAATGAAGTGTTGGGCTAATTAATTTTTAATCACTTAGAGTTCTAAAATTTCAACAACTAAAAAGATAGATGAAATTTCCCTTGGAGGTATTGGTAAACAGTATTTCTATTTAAGACGTGGGAATGTTTGTAGGAAGAAGCACCTGGATAGAGAGATGTAAACAATTCTGCCTCATATTGGAAGACACTGAGCACAGTAAGTTTCACTAACTTAATCATGATTGGCATGGAGCGCAGAACGCATGAATAAAGTTGAGAATATAAAGACTTCAGCAATAATACAAGATGCTTGTGTGCTTAAATTAAATGTTCTTGAAGGTCAGAATGCTTTTATTTGCAAAGATCTCTGTATTTTAGGAAGCAGAATGTTCAGTATTGATTCGAAAATATAATGGTTGGAATTCTATTTAAGGTCACTGAATAATAAATATAACTAAGCCCCCAAACTTCCTTTATAACCCAGGAAGCTAGATGCTCAGAAACAGAGGAAAGCACAAACCAGAAAATATTGGAGCTAGAAATTCAGGCAAAGCTTTGACCTGAAGGTAGGATGTGTGTGTGTGTGTGTGTGTGTGTGTGTGTGTGTGTGTGTGTATGCATGTGTAAGCATGTGTGTGTACATGCACATGTTTTCTCTCATTGTCCCTCCATCTGACATTGAAATAGTGTCTTGAATTTGGACAGAAAGAACATGTCTGAAAAATACAGCTTTGAAAATCCAAATTACAAGTTATAGCCTGTTGTTAGGATGTTAGACTAGACGGTGGCAGAGGGACAAGGGAAACAATTCACGATGAAATTCTGAAATAAAAAGACGTGCTGCCAAGAGAGAATTCACTGAGCTGTTAGCCCTGTTTTCTTCCCTAATAAAATGATTTTTGAGACTGTTCAGCCAGAAAGGTAAACCATTCTCACAATTTAGAAGTGCCAGTCATCTATAAAGCCATAAGGCAAGACTGAAAGAAATTTGTGATGAAGAATAGGATTCTCACTTAAAAGTCAGAAGAAGATAAGAGAAAGACAATGGAGCCTCTATAGCAAGTCAATTATTTAGAGGTTTGGCTTCAGTTCCTGGATTTTCCCTCTCCTGAAGCTTCTCCTCTCTCTTCCTGACTTGGGCCTGCCTTTTAACCATTACACAGCCTCTAAGGATCCGCCATGGAGAGGAAAGGAAGAATGGTGCTAACTGAACCTGGGTTGGAAAGTGGCTGGCCCCAAGCAGTACAATTCAAAGGTAGAACAAAATAGTCAGGTTTTGCCTTTTTTCTTGGTCAATTTTTCAAAGCCAGATAATGTTCATTGGATCATCTGTCAATCTAGTGACTACATCTTCAGCACGTGGGTGTGAAGGTGTGGTGATGCAGCTAGTCTGGGGTGTCTACAAGTTGACTTACTCTCTTAGAAGCTGCTTTGCCAGTTGTCGCCTATTGATGTGTGGCTGATGGACAAATTGCTCAGTTGGACAAATGTATTTGTGACCTGGACATTATACTGGGAGATGAGGAGATATCCTACTGCCTGTGTCGCTTACCCTGAAAAATATTTTGGCACGCTTTATTAATTTTAACCTAATAATGATCATTTTAAAGGTAAAGTTTCTATTTTAGAGCAGTTTTAGATTTACAGAATTACTGCAAAGATAGTACAGAGAGCTCTCACATACCTCGTGTCCAGTGTCACCCACTGACCTCTTACATTAATAATATGGTACATTTGTCAATTAATAAACCAGTATTGATAGATGATTGTAAACTAAACTCTGTAATTTATTCAAATTTCCTCAGTTTTTCCCTAATGTCCATTTTATGTTCTGAGATCCTTTCCAGGATACTACATTGCATTTAGTCTTCATGTCTCCTTAGGCACCTCTAGGTTGTCACAGTTTGTCAGACTTCCTTTATTTTTGATGACCTTGGCACTTTTGAGGTTTACCGGTCAGATTTTTGGAGAATGTCCCTCATTGGGTGTTTGTGTGATGTTTTCCTCATGATTATACTGGAGAATCTGTTTTTCTGGAAGGAAGATTACAGAGGTGAAGTGCCATTCTCATCACATTGTATTGTGGGTCCATACTATGAATGTGACTTCCTACTGTTGATGTTGACCTTGATCACCTGGCTGAGGTAGCGTTTGTCAGATTTCTCCACTGTCATTACTCTTTTTTTCCCCACTCCCTTTCCACACTGTCCTCTTGGGAAGAAAATCACTAGGCATAACACATACTTAAAACATGAATTTATGCTCCACTTCCTTAAGGGCAGAGTATCTACATAAATCAGTTAGAACTTTTCTTGGGAGATTTCTTTATTATTCCCCATTTATTCACTCATTTGTTTTTATCAGTGTAGATTCGTAGCTCTGTGTATTACACTGCAGGTTATAATCTAATACAACTTTCTTTTGTTGGTCAGATTGTTCCACATCTTTTCGTTGGCTCTTGCATCCCTTTCACATACCTCCATCTTGATCGGGAGTTTTCATTTTTGTTTTCTCAAGAGGTGCTCTAGGCCCACGTGGTGGATTACATTGATTGATTTTTTTTGAATATTGAACCAGCCTTGCACACCTGGAATAAATCCCATTTGATTGAAGTGGATAGTTTTTTTTGGATTTGCCAATATTTTCTTGAGGATTTTCACATGTATGTTCATGAGAGATACTGGTCTGCGGTTTTCTTTTTTGTTTTGTCATCTTGTTTTGGTATTAGGAAAATGATGACCTCATAGAATGAAGAAGTGTTCCCTCTGCCTTCTGGGAGAGGTTGGGAAGTATGGATAACACTTCTTCCTTAAGTGTTGGGTAGAATTTACCAGTGACATAATTTGAACCTGGTGATTTCTTTTTTGCAAGGTTATTTTAGTTATTCACTTTCTTTAATAATTTCAATAGCCCTATATCTACTTCTCCTCGAATGGGTTTTGGTAGTTTGTATGTCTCAAGGAATTGGTCCATTTCCTCTAAATCATCAGACTTGTGGACATCGAGTTGTTCACAGTATTACTATATTATCCTTTTATGTCCATGGAATAGTAGAGATGACCTCCCTTTCATTCCCAATATGGGTAAGTTGTGTCTTCTTTCTTTTTTCTTGGTTAGCTTGGCTAGGAGTTTATCAATCTTTCTCACTTTTTTTTTTCTAAGACAAAAAATCAATTTTTGGTTTTGTTGTTTTTTTTTTCTATTCTTATTTTCTGTTTCATTGATTTCTGCTCTAGTTTCTATTCTTCTGCTGTAAGCTTAAATTGTTCTTACTTCTCTAGTTTCCTAAGGTAGGAGTTTAGGTTATTGATTTTTTTAATCTCTTTTCTGATACATGCATTAAATGCTATAAATTTACTTCTAAACATTGATTTTGCTACATCTCTTAAATTTTCCTAAGTTGTATTTGCATTTTTATTTCGTTCAAAATATTTTGAAATTTCTCTTGAAATTCTACTGTAACTTACATAGTATTTAGAACTTGGTTCTAAATATGTGGGGATTTTTCCAGGTGTATTTCAGTCACGATTTCTAGTTTAATTTCACTGTGGTCTGAGAACATACTTTGTGTGAGTTTTCTTTTAAATTTGGTAGGGTATATTTTGTGGCCCAGAACGTGGTTTACCTTGGTGAACATTGCATGCAAACTTGAGAAGAAAGTGTGTTCTGCTGTTGGATGGAGTTTTCCACAGATGTGAATTAGATTATGTTGATGGACAGTACTATTCAGGTCAACTGATTTCCTGCCTGCTTGATCTGGCAATTATTGGGGTAGGTGGGGCTGGAGTCCCCAGCTATAGTAATGGATTTCTCATTTTATTCTTTCAGTTCCATCATTTTTGCCTCCTGGATTTTGATGTTTTATTTTTGGGTACATACATGTTTAGAAATGTTATGTCTTCTTAGGGGATTGATGCCTTTATTAGTATGTAGTGCCTCTTTTTATCTCTGATATTTTTCCTTGTTCTGAAATCTGCTTGGTCTGAAATTAATAAAGCTACTCCAGTGAACTGTTTTTTTGATGAGCAGTAGCATATCTTTCTCTATCCCTTTACTTGCAACCTATCAAGAGTCTTTTTTTTCATTAGTGTTTTTTTTTAATATTCATTTTTGAGAGACAGAGACATTGAAAGTGAGAGAGACAGAGAGAGAGGGAGACACAGAATCTGAAGCAGGCTTCAGGCTCTGAGCTGTCATCACAGAGCCCGATGTGGGGCTTGAACCCATGAACCGTGAGATCATGACCTGAGCTGAAGTCAGACACTGAACCAACTGAGCCACCCAGGTGCCCCTCTTTAGTAGTTTTCTTGTAGACAATATATAATTGGGTCTTGTTTGGTGGGCAGTATGACAATTGCTTTCTTTTAATGGCT